AAAAAAACAGTGGTGTTCAGCAAAGTAATATATTGCAGATGCACAATCATAAATGAAATTCTTTAATTAAATACTCTAAAAACAGGGATGTTTAAAGAAGGTTGCAGCAGCCCATTTTACTTATCCCCTTGGGTCTACACTTCTCCACCAGGGGGCACACTGACAATGCTTCTTGCACCCACACCAGCAGCTACAAACTCTTGACAGGTGATGAAGGTGCTCAGGCCAGCAGGCAGCCTGCGGAGTCTCACCTTGACATTCTGCATGCTCAGGATGTTCCCACAGTCATCCATGTACTGCTTAAGGTCTTTGTCCTAGAAGAGAGGAAGGGCGTTAGAGCGGGGACGCTACAGGCACACAAACTGCAACAGTTGGTAAGCCTTCATACTCCGCACAGAGTCATGAATAATAATAACGTCAAATATTTTAATCTAAGCAACCCTGCAGAGAACATCGTGAGTCATGCAGGAGGGAGGCTGCAGAGGTTTTGCTGGTCTCACCAGGTATTCAAACACCAGTGTGAGCGACTTGTCTGTGTGGACGATGTCGTGCAGCGTCACGATGTTGCCGTGCTTCAGGTCCTTCAGTAGAGACACTAAGAACACACACGCAGAAAAAAAGAAGAAGAAGAAGAAGAAGAAGAAGACAGCTGTTACAGCGAGGGTGTGATTACACTCAGCTTATTTTTTTATTCTCTCAAAGTAACATTAACCAACATTTGCTTTACTTCTTGCTCTGATGCCTCTGTGTTCACGCTGATTAAGCCAAGAGAGGTTTATTTATAAATCCTTCAATCTTACAAAAATGTCTGAGACTTACAAAGAAAGCTTATCTGGCTCAAATTAATCAACAAAGTCTCAAAACAAGAGTGTGCTGCCAACACCGCTCTCCATATAAGGTCGCATAAAACTGCAAAATAAAAGAAGAAAATGCCTCCAGTTCAACCCCAGTGAAGGATCCATATAGACTCTCAAAGATGACAAACTCAACGTTTTTTTGTGAAACGTGCTAAACCTGGTGATGAAGAAACTTGAATAAATACATTTATCCATCTAAAAAAACACAAAGCACCGTCAGTGAGCGCAAACTGAATTTACTCAAGCTGCCAGAAGATGACACTGAAATACAGTGCTTTGCAAAACTCTTAAGCCACGGCACATTTCTTTACATTTGGTAGGAAACTGGGAAATAGGTGCAACGATTTATTAAAAGCATAAATGGAAATGAGGCGTATAAGGCATAAAGAAAGTTTGTAGAATTGTAAGTAATCTTCAGGAAACGTTCTTTCTGAAAGACATCCAAAGCTCTTCTTTGGATGTTGGCTGCCTTGTATTCAATTCTTTGTCAATGCTTGAATAAAGCCGAGGTCAGTCTGTGACTAAGTGTCGTGTTGTGTGATTTTCTGTCCAGGTATGCTTTCACTGCACTGGCAGAAACAAACACTGCCAGTCAGGCACTGCACGATCAAAATCGGACTTTATTTGCATTCGTAATTTCACCAATTTTGACAAGATCTCCAACATCGCTGTCTGAAACGCAGCCCTGATTCATGGCAGCGTCTCCAGTGTGTTTTACAGATGGATGCAGACACTCCTGACCTTCTCTGTACATACTGACAACGACTTGAACCAAAAATGTCAAATTTGGTTTCATCACTTCGTAAGACGTGTAAGTCAGTGATTTTCAGTTCACTTCTTGTGTAATGTGGCATGCCACAGCATTTTCTCACTATTCTTCTTCTTGACAAATAGCTTCTTGATAGCTCTCCCTCCACTGAGACCACGTCTGATGAGGCTTCAGCAAACAACAAGCAGGGCCAGATGCATCTCTCAAGTCATGTGACAGGTCTTTGCTGGACTGTTTTCCTATTTCTTAAGGATATGACTTCAAAATTGAGTTCATCTGTTGTAGACACATTGTTTTTTAGGTCTATCACTTCGTTTGTCAATCAATTGTGCAGTTTCCTCAAATTTGTTTTAATCACACTGCACACCACATAGTTTTAGGCTAATAGCTTGTTGGTGCAAAAATATTATTTCAAGCATGTTAAACTGTGTAATCTTTAGCTAATATCTAAGTGTAACTAAGTGGATAAAGATACGATTTAAAATCGGTCCTCGCTAAGTTGTCTGTTATGTGCAGACTCGGCTTGTGTAAAAATTCCACAAAATTCCAAATCTACCAGTGTCTGCTGGTGCTGGGATATATTTACAAACCTGACCACCTACAGGCACGACCTGTATGTTTGTATTTGAGGTTGTTTTCTAGGAGCATTTAATCTAAAATCTGCTTTTCTATTTCAGTTAACTAAGTTGTTTTTTGCACTCCATCTTGCTGCAGATGTTCAAACGTCACTGTTCATAAAACGTAAAACAAATCAGCTTATATAAGTAAAAAAAGTTCAAGCACTTATATTTGACTGCTTGGTGACCAAATAGCGTTCTGTGGCTAAAATCTTTTGTACCTTCTCGGATAGCCGTGCACGGTGCTCCTTCTTCGTGCTCCAGTCTGATCTCTTTCAGCGCCACGAGGTTGTCTGTCAGCTTACTCCGCCCCTTGTACACAGTAGCATACGTGCCCTATACAGCAGGAAAAGAAGTGGGGGTTCAGTGTTTCAGGTTAAAAGTAAACTCCACAACTGTGCCTGTGTGCACTTTAATCACTCACTATGAGAACGTTTGCACCTGGGGTGATAAAGAAAGGCTTTCAAGGTAAACTGTGCCACATACCTCCCCCAGTTTGTCCAGTTTGATGTAGGTCTCCAGCTTCCCAAATCCAATTTCTGACTGGAGGGAAGAAAAGGACAAAAAGCATTAATGAGGGTAGTGTCTTTATTAGCAGTGACAGGCTTACACACACCAGGACAAATCCTCATGATGGCCTTGCAGCATCACAGAGCAGGGCGTGGGGGGTGGGGGTCACACAACCAAACCAGCATCCTGACTAATTGCTTGTGACAAAGACCCGATGGCTTTTTACAACATGTCTATGGGCGAGTCGAACAAACAACATGTTTTCATTTATATTTTTGAGCTAAATATATAATAAAAAAAATAGCTAGTTTCAGTTTCTCTAATATTTGGATTTTTCTCAGTTTCTCATGTGTGCTAAGAATAATACGGTTGTGTCGTTTCACATCACATTTTACTACTCTCATCATTTAATATACCAAGGATTGCTTGATCAATTGACCCAATATTCTCCACGATAAATAATAACTGAAACAATCATTACTTCCACGCATAATAAATCACTAAACGCTTCACAACTATTCAGTTATAACCAGAACACACACAAACTACTTAATAACTGAGCTATAACTGTCACTGCTGCAAGCCAGCATCTTCAGAAGGCTTAAACAGACCTGTGCACTGGATAAAGACCAGCGCCAGAAAAGCTGAGAGGTCTGACAGCCAATCATCTGAGCAAATCCAGTCAGTGCTTTTGAAAAAACTCTGCAAAGGGGTGTGTATGCAAATAAAGTTGGGCCTGGGCGAGGCCGAGTGTTACTTACTCCTCTGTTCTGCTTTTGACAGATGCACAGGACAATCGTTCAGGCTCGTGACAAAAATGAGTGCTGAGAGGATGAGCTCTGATCGGCTGAGGATAAGGTGTGAACTCTGACGCTCTCACTTCTGTTTCTTGCTGCATTTAAATAAAACATTACCCTCAGAGCTATCTTTATCCATGTGCAGCCACTTCCTGACTCTTGCTCTGCTTCCATTTCTCTCATTCTGGTCCACCCCTGATTCTCAAATTAGCACTCTTCACTATCGCTTTTACCAAAAGAAAGAATTTAGTTTTTAATGTTATTACAGTTTTATCTGCAAAATGCTATATGATGAACCCTGAAGCAAATATGGCTCTGCCTCTTAGAATTTACTACTAAAAACTCCCAATAATGTAAAAATCAATAAGCAGATCTTTAATGATCTGTGACACAGAATGTTGTACTTACAAAACTGACACACTGCTAACACCAACAACATTAATTAATGAATACTTTTGGGGAAATTAATTATTTATTGAGTTTATGGTGTCGTGGTTATTCGGGTGACATGAAGAGATCACTTATTCAAGACCCATCCTCAAGGGGTCATGAGCTAGTGTGATCACTGTGGCAGGATGGCCACTGAAGCTGCGGTTATGGTTGATGCACTCGCTATACAACAGATATGCAGTCATCAGCTGCTTTTGTTAGGTACACATGGTCAACTGAATGTTATCTATTAAGCCAATCACATATCAGCAATTCAGTGCATGTAGACATGTACAGGATGACTTGTTGAAGATCAAACTAAGCATCAAAAGGGGAAATAAAGGTGATTTAAATGACTCTGAATGTGGTTGTTGGTGCCCGATGGGCGGGTCTGGGCATTTCAGAAACTGAAAGCTGAAAAATGCCAGCTGAGGTTTTCCTGCACAACCATCTCTGAGCTTACAGAGAACAGTCTGAAAGAAAGAAAATATTCAGTAAGCAGCAGTTTTCTGGGAGGAAAGGCCATATTGATGCCAGAGGTCAGAGGAGAATGGCCAGACTGCTTCGAGCTGGTAGGAACGCGACAGTTACTCAGGTTATTACAACCGAGGTACGAAGAAGCGCACAACAAGTGGAACCTTGAAGCAGACCGGCTGCAGCAGCAGAAGACCGCACCAGGTCCACTCCTGTCAGCTAAGAACAGAAAACTGAGACTACAATTTTCATTAAATGGCCAAGAAAAGTTGTAAAAACCTCGCCTGGTCTAATGAGTCTCAACTGTTGCTCTGACGTTTGGATGGTGGTGTCACAATTTGGTGCAAAAACATTAAAGCGTGGATCAATTCTACCTTGTGTCAAAAGTTCAGTTTGTGTCACAGTCACTGGATATCTAATTCGATCACCTTAACGTAATGGAAAAGGGAGATTTGTATCATGGATGTAGCTGACAAATCTGCAGACATGCTATCATGATGTGATGCTATCATGTCAATATGGACCAATGCCTCTGAGGAATGTTTCCAGCACCTTGTTTAATCAGTGCCACAAACAATTAAGGTAGTTCTGAAGGCAAAAGAGGGCCAAACCCTGTAGTAGATGTACCCAATAAAGTGGTTGGTGAGTGTATACTGCATTGATGTGGCTTCGAAAAGCTCACAGGGACTGACCCGCTCACGGATTTGTGCCTCCAGCCCAACCTCACCGCCCACGATGTGCCCGACAGGTTACAAAACTTGGGAGATGCACAACAAGCCAGTAGTTGTGCCATCACTTCTGGCTTGCACCACACACAAGGACGACTACAGCAAGAATAAACCTGCTTTCCAGTGAACCACACAGGGAATTTCTCTGTGTTTCCATCTTGGCCCAGATTCCTGGGCTTGCAATGACTTTGATGACTAAATAAATGAACTAAATGCACATTTTACTTTTAACTATTTTGTCGTAATTTTTCTCAACCAAATTCCAAAAATAAGGAGAGTATATTAGCCAATGATGTGACCCCTGCAAGTCCAGCTTCAAGGTGAAGGACATGTGCAATAGGCCGACTTCCTGTTTACAGTATCACTCTGCACTTGTCTCCTCTCTGACAACTTGCAATTGTCTCCCGTGTCTTTTCAGCACCTTCTCTCTTACTTCTTCCCCTCTAATCCCTCTTGTTCTTCTCACCAGTGATGCTCTGCGGGAGCGTCGGCTCAGCGGCTGGTCGAAGGGTGGGCTGCTCATTTGAAACTTCTCCAGGTAACCGTCAGGTATCCGGATGTCAGCTGGCAGGGACAAACGTTTGTTCAGGTCCTACACAAAAACAAGAAAACTCAATTTAAAAAAAAAAAAAAAAAGTCGGTATATCAACCTGAATGAATAAACAAACAAACCCTTAGCAAACAACATAATCTCTGAATAAATACCTCTGATTGGATACAAAATGGCAGAAACCCAAAGTAAACAAGCAGAATCTGTGGGTGTACTTTAGGCCTCACCGGTTAACAGAGAAGCCAGTGTGGTACGTGCGTGTGCAGCCACACAGTGACAGTTTTAGACTTGTGTTCATGGTAAAGGCCGTATGTGGAGCCCTTAAGAGTTCAGGGTAAGTCTTTTTAAAGAAGTAAAACAAGCACACAAAGCATGATTCTAATGATTCTTTATATAAAAATCCCTCAAACACACATAATACAATCAAACAGTTAAAATCTAACACCTGGATTCTTCCCATCATGCATTTCCTCTATTTGTTAGATTACTATTAATCCCACGTTTCTCTCTGTAAATCTACTTCCACTCCCTCTGAGGTAACACCGGACACCCCACTGCTTCCTCCCTCCATCTTAGCCAACACGCACAGAAGCAAAACGCAACCTCAACCTTTTTCAAATTTCAACACAAGTTCAGAGACAAGCTCATAAACCCGTAAACTGAAATTGACCGACTTCTAGAAGGATCGGTGACTTTCAGCCTTTGCGTTAAACGGTGACTGTGAGTCAGCTTTCTGCTCTGTGGTTGTTAACAGCAAACACATTTAGCCATGTGATCAGCTTCCAGGAAGTGTAGTCTTCATTAAAACTTGGAGCAAGTTGACATCCTGGTGCAGATTCGGCATCTCTATTGTTTTGTGTGCGTACAAACTAAATACAAACTCATAAAAACATTCATTTCAAGGCAATAAAGAGGTTTGCTTATTGTTTTAGCTTTAACTGTTCACAAAAACATTTTTAAGTAAAGACACCACAGCTCTGGATTCTCAAAAAGAGAAAACAAAAGCACTCTGCACATATCAACATAACAGGAACTCTGCTTGTCTTTATTTGTTTAAGAATATACATTAGATTTCGCTCTGCTGCTCTGTGGTTTCAGTGTGCAGGGCCAGGATTGGTGACTTGTCCTCAGAGTAAGTGATGCCGTCCATCACCTGACCTTTGCAACCCCTCCACCCCCCTCCAGTTTGTCCAATCAACTCGTCCTAATCTGTTACAACAGGGGCCCATCTGGACCGTATTACAGTAATCCTCGTGATGTAATCCCAAAATGGCACTGCTTCCACTGCAGTCCGAGGAGAACAATCTGCTACCTGACCAGCCCAAAGGGACGTCCTCGCTCCTCCTCCTATTTTTTCTGCTCTGCCGTCCCTTCTCCAAGTGTCACAGTGGCACAGAGGGGACAAAGAACAAGGCCGCACACTGATTTCACTGTTGGATCACTTCATCAACAACAAGCCTGCAGTCAATCACTCTGTTCATTCAAACAGTACACTGGATTTGCTGGGCTGACAGAAGCTGCAAGTAGAACTGTGAGCGTGTCCAAAAAACTAAAAACTTTATCTGGCTGTGAAACAGTCACAGGAAGTGTGAGGTGTACTGCTTGCAGACACGCTCAAAAAAGCAGCAAGAGTTGATGTATCATCTCTCTGTGTGGGCAGCCTCAAATGCAGCTTAACTAAACCCCAAGCATTTTTCCCCTCTACTCGTGCAGGTTTGCATGCTTGGTTTGTCTGTGCAGATGCTGCTATCTGCTTGTAAACTCCCACAGGGGTTGCAATCAAAGCAACCAATAAACAGAAGGAGGGAAGTGTGTGCTGTTCAATCAGAACTTTTCCTTCCACCCAGCAGCTAGTGTGAAAACATGTGGTTCAGTGGCATCAACTGTACCTATAAAAACACAAGACTATAAGGAAGTCCTTTTCCTTACAGTTTCTTTTTTTTCTCTCCTTTGACTCCTTTTATGTAAAACTGGAAAGTCTTTCTTTGCATTTTATATTATATTTTGTATTAACACAAAGAAAAATAAGTCTCTGAAAAAGAGAAAGACAGAAGGTGAAAAAGTGTCTAAAACAGTGATGCAGAAAAAGGAAATGAAAACTATGGATGGATATGAATCTATTTTCCTGTCATGCTTTTTTTTAATATAATTTGAGTTGAGAATGGCGATGTTATGAAGTAACTCCTGCCACAGTTCAGGGGGAAAGTGGGCGGCTCGTTGCATTACTTTATGTCAGCTGCACGGCCTGAAGTCCTATTGGTAGAGCTTACGTTGGGCTAAAGGGACCAATTATTGGTTTTGGGAGGGATCGGGTCAGATATTGATTGAAACAGTAAAATGACATGTTACCTCTGCTTATATGTAAAGAATAAAACTTTAAACAGCTGTTTGACAAACTTCTCTATGATGATGATGACAATCCGTCACCATTTCCTTGCAGATATGAATTAATACAGATATCTGCGGATCACTGGAATAAATGAGTTTTGCAAAGTTTGATGTAGTAGTAGCGTGCTTGAGTCAAAGTAACATTTGTTTCTCAGTAAAAGTAAATCTACAATAAGTTAAACTGGACTAATAAAAACATACATAACAAGTTGTTTTTTATTTAAAGCAGACTTAATGCGCCCATCTTTGGCTCCACAGCTATATTCTTTGCCTCTGCTAGACCAGTTTTGAATGTTTAATAAGGCAAGGCGACTCTTTACCCATTGAAAGCCTACCAGGACTAACGCTTCACCCTCTTTTCTGAACTGAGCTCTTTGCGTCATATTTCAGGCCTGCTGTTAGAACAAAATTACAAAAAGGTGTGCATCAGAAGGTAGTGAGGCTGGCCTCAGCCTATCCAGCTACCCTATAAAAACTTGGAACCTTTTCAAATGGTTCATGGTTATTGAGTACAGAAGTCTTAAGTACAGAAGAGGTTGTCAAATGTTGTCTCTATGTGGGGAAGAGATAAGGCTAACTTTCTTCTGATTGGCTGCACATAGCAAATAGATTGTTTGACCAACAGGTGGGTAGGGCACCTCCATGTGACATCATAATGATCCATGAGAACACAAAACAGGGGGTGCAAACACAAACACACATTTGTGTTTATTATTTGTTGTTGTTGCACAGGTACTCTGTGTCCATCTCTGTAATCTACAGTATGTGAAACAATCAGATTCATGCCACAGATTCTTCTTGTTGGCTTTGAACATACAGCTTTAATAAAGGAAACTATTTTGGAATCATGTTCATGTAGGAACAAAAATATAAATCAATGAAATAGAAAAGAATTACTGTTGTTAATATGTGCAGAAATAAACGCCCTGGATCCAAAAAATACTTGTGGGAAAATGGAATGCCTTTTAGATAAAAGCAATTACAGTGAGATGTCTTCTGTAATGTGTTGAGATTATGTAACCACCGGAGAAACGCAATCGAACTGCCCGTGTCTGGCTCTGTGTGTTTGAGAAAGAGGAAGTAAATCAGAGGGGGTTTTGGGTGGGTGGATGTGCTGACGAATAAAAGATTCTTTAAAGTAGATTTCAAAACCAACTTGAGAGGAACATTACATGAAATCAGTCTGAACATTATGTGTGCGCTGCTCACATTGCAACAGGAGCCGAGGATTTGTGTATTTGTGCAGTGTGTGTATATGACACACTGCACAAATACACCCACGCCGAGTTACAGCACGGAGCTCACATTCGCGTCTTACAGATAGGTCTATTGTCATTTATCAGTGAAGTCATCGCAGCGCACGCTTATTAACAAAGTGGAATTTGAACCATCACACCAGGTGAGGAGATGTGTGGCAACACAGTCAATCGTCCCACTGAGTTAAGTGTAGGCCCTGCAGTGACTCACACTACAATATATCCACACTTTGCAAAGCAGAGAGGCTACACAAGGACAACGACGGAGCTCTGAAAACACAGAGCCAAATCTCACCTCCGCAGAGATGCGTCTGTTCCCTCTGTTCCTCAGACAAACACCCGTGGGCGACTGCACCTCATCAGAGGAAGTCCCGGATGCCTGGTCGCTCTCTCCGTCTGACCCCATCTTCAGGTTCTCGTGGACGATATCTGGAGATGAGCGAAGAGAAAAGTTTACAGAGAGCACGGGGGGTTGACAAATGGAGCAGGTCTGTAAAAACAGGGCAGGGTGCAACACCAGATAATGACTTCAACAGGAAAGAAAAACACTCTCTCGGACACTTTTATGACTCCCTCTTTTCTTATCAAGCTACTGGCTGTATCAGACAGACGATATACAAGAGGTAAATATTCTTAATGAGTTTGACTTAGATTTTATTTCAGTGCCACAGGCTTTATGAGACAAAGCCATACATCACGGAGTAATTTACCCACGCCTGAGAAAACTCTGCTCTCATTCATACACTATTGCAGCATTTTCATTCCCTCCAGGGGTTTTATTCATATTTTGAATTTGTATCTGGGCTGAAAATCCAAGTTGACAGCAAACTTGGTTTTCAGAGTCGTTATTTTTAGTTATATTTCTTTGCAAAAAGGACAAAAATGCGGCCACAAAAGCGGATAAATTGAAGTGCATCTTTGCACAAAGCAATGATTTCTTTGAGCACATGCGTGATACAGTTCCCTCAACAGAAATGGGTATGACAAGGAATTTAGGCCCAGCAGCAGCTCAACACCTTCCACGTATGGTCACAAAAGAAATCGTTGGCTATTTCTTCATTTCAAGCCAGAAATATAAAAGTCAAATATTAAATTTGACAGCAGGCAGGTTAGGCGTGACTCACCAAGGCGACTACCATTGCGAGGCATGACCATGAGAGAGCCTAGTCCTCCTCCGATGACGCTCTGAGGCCGTCTGAGCGGTGGCTTTTTAAAAGAGCCTGTGTACTGGTGAAGAAATGAGTGGACACTGTGGGCTGATGGAGGACGGCCGTTCCTCACAATGGGCTCTGCTGGAGAAGAAAGAGTTTGTTGTGTTTTTTTGATGATGACAGGACACACAGTATACAAGCACATATCAACAGATGAGAACAAAATACAAAAACCCCAAAACAAAACATTGTAGTCATGGCGCTGAAAGAAAGTGGTATTAATGTGAACAAGACTCATCATGGCCAATATGTGATTAATGCACTTCAAAGCAATCCAATGATAAATTCATCCTGAGGTACTCTGACAATCTTATGTGTCGGATGATTTATCTTGCTGATTGCGTCACTACATAACAGCCAGTTCTTATAAAAACTGGGTGGCGGATGGGTTGTTTTCCCCTTTCTAAATGTTATTAAGCTCAAAATTTGCATTATGGGGATCACGACTACTTACTAACAGCTAGATACTGACACAGAGGAGGCACTACCCATCTGCTAGACGGCGCCTCTGCTTATTCAAGTCCCTGAATCTTACCCATCAACAGCGTTTTGTGGCATTTAAGTCTTTTTGAATGGTATTATCTAACAAATATCAGAACACGCTGGATGCTACAGACCATCCAAGAAGTCTACTTTAGTTTTGGTGATGTGCCTCGCTAAGCTATAACACTAGTATTACCAACTAACTTAGCACTTTACCGCTCTCATACTCCTGGTTCTAACAAAAAGAAGACAGTGGCATTATTGAGGGAAGATCAAGGCTTCAAATTTGGAATTAACCAAGGGGCAACCTCCAGAGATTAAAAATGAAACCCCCCAAAATGACAAAAACTGCAGTTCCTCTAAGTGCCACTTGAGGCTCCCTCCAAAAGGACATAGTTTTGGTCAATTTGATTACATTTACAGAAAAAAAAATGATAGTTTCAACTTTCATAACAACTCCAGGTTTTATAACTCATCCACCTGGATAACTGAGCATGGCTGCACTGACTGAGGCAGCTGGAGCCACTCAGAGTCTGGTAAGCCTCCTCTTCTGTCAGTTATTAAACTGGGCCTCTTCACTGTGTGTGTGTGTGTGTGCGTGTTTCCTGCCTTCTGTAGCATTTTAATAGACTGACTGATATTACGGCTTGCTGAGTGGTGCAGACCATTCCAGGTATTTGTGCTTATTGTGACTTCTGTTACTTTATTAGTGCGTTCTTAGCACTTATTTTGTGTCTCTGTGCTGCAGCAGTACAATTCAAGCATACATCTTGTTAACCAGCCTTGCTACCAATAGTTGATAAATTAGTAGTCCACCCTTTGATTCATCAAAGTAACTTCTAAATCAGAAAGAAATTCTACATGACCGCAGCCAAAACTTTTATATTAAGGCCTCAAAATGTGCCTCTTTGATACTTTCCTTATAATTACCAAACCACTTTGTGTCACCTTCCATCTTTTATATACACACTGTATTGTTAGGCTTTGTATCAAGGTGACCAATAAAAATGAAACTGCTGGGTTGATATACATTAGGTTCTACACTGTAAATTAACAAATTTCTCACTAAAAACAAAACAAAACAAAAAAACAGTGAATTAAATTGAACCTTAATCTGTTTTGATATTTGAGTATCACATCTTCCCAATGAACTTCGGGTTACCTAATTGTACACATAGCCAGGAGAACAGCAATGTTTTCTTAATCAGTGTAACCCCTGTACTGTAAATAATCAAAAGTGTATGAAAGTCTGTAAACAAATGCCTGACAGTCTAAGGCAGGGGTGGGGAATTCGGGGGCCGGTGTCCTACAGGTTTTAGATGTGTCCTTGATCCAACACAGCTGATTTAAATGGCTAAATAACCTCCTCAATATGTCCTGAAGTTCTCCAGAGGCCTGGTAATGAACTGATCATTTTATTCAGGTGTGTTGACCCAGGGTGAGATCTAAAACGTGCAGGACGCTGGCCCTTGAGGCCTGGATTCCCCAACCCTGGTCTAAGGTGTGTGAGTTTGGCTTGTGGAAAGGATCTACCACTGACAATGAACAGCTTTTGTCCAAAAGCACGACTAGAGCTGACAGAGTTGAATGATTTAATATCTGGAAGATCTAGCACCCAGCAAAACACCAAATATGACAATGAGGAGAAAAGAACACCCAGGAGAAGATGAGCAGAAGTCAAAACTCAGACAGAGGCCCATGTATGCAAAAAGAGCAGACAGGACAAGGACAAGACATAAGTCAACAGTTACAGAGGAGATAATTACTTCCCAAGAATAATGATTATTGATTAGATAGATTGGTTTATGTCCCTGCAAAAACAAACAAACAAACAAAAAACAACTGTCAGGCAGAAAAGTGTTTGTATGTGTTTAGGACCTGTAATGCAAGGGCTTGGGTTTTACAGTCCACCGCTGTTTGTCATGACCTTGTTTGGTAAAGCCATTAACATCATCAGCCTTTGAACACAGAGTGGATTACCTGGTTTATCAAGAGTAGATCCATTTTGTTTAAAAAAAACCCAAAAAAAACAGAAACAAAACCCACACAAAAGCAAGTTAATAGTAGGCAAAGTTTTCGTGTATAGAGAAAATTTAGGGAACTAACCAAAGTGCTTTTAGCTAGAGTCAAACGCTCATTGCTAATTTGAGGTGGGTAATGGTCCAGTAAAGTCACACCAAACAAGTGGTTGTATTACGGGTATGTACTCCTGCACGCTCTATCCGTGCTGCACTCTCTCCTACAACAAATTGTTGAGCGTTTATAGACAAGAACGCATCTGAAAACATGGTTAGACCAAAGGAGGGATTCTCCTCTCCAGCACCTGGGAAGGTCTAGGAATACTGCAGAGAATAAGGAGTTGGGGGATTTCATCCTGGCAACAGGACATTGAACCAGATCTTTACCTTCTTGAGGTGTGGGGGAGTTTCCCCAATGTTAAAGTGTTCTATTGACCCACAAAAGGGGCTTGAGGAGGACGGAGTATTGAACTCACTGTTCAACCACAGTGGCAGCTCGTTTCACATAAATCAGACCTGTTTCCAGTCAGACTGCCAGAGCATCCCTTTGTCACCAAATGTGCTCATAATTTTTATGGATTTAATTTTTAGACACAATCATAGGTGGAGGGTTCTGTGGTCAGAGGATTTCATCTTGCTTTTTGATGTGGTTCTGTTAGCTTCACCAAAAGACGACTGCCATCTTGCACTGGGTCGGTTTATAACTGAGTCTGAAGCAGCTGGCATGAGCACCTCCAAGTCTGAGGACAGTTTTCAGTCATAAATGGTGGACTGAACACTTGGGGTCTTGTTCATGAGTGAGGGAAGGAGGGAATGGCAAATGGAGATCGCCGGACTGGTGCAGCATCTTCTTCAGTGTTGTTGATGCTGTACTGGTCTGTACAGCAACCGCAACACTAAAGAGAAATGTGCACGTAACAGCAAAGCTGTCGATTTACCCGTCAGTCTACGTTACTAGTCTCACCTATGGTCACAAACTCTGGGAAGTGACGGAAAGAATACGACTGCAGAAACAAGTGTTGGAATCAGCTCTCCCCAAATGATGATCGGCCTCTTCCTTAACCTGCCAATATACCCACTGCAATGGTCACATCGCTCACTGCCACGCCGTCATCACACATATGCAGCCATTTATACCCGGCATTACAGCGCAAGAACTCGCTGCAGTATTCTCCTAAAGGTGTCGCCACCAGGATAATATTGCATCATAAGCGCTGATAAGGAGAAGTCAAAACTAACAAATTTGTAATTTGTGTGTGTGGGGGGAATTTTACATTTTGACATTTTACTTAAATAACAGCAAAATGCTACAGATTGTCCTGATTACAGCTGAGTGAGATTGCTAATGATTCTATTCAACAGTTTCTGAATTACTTTTTAACTGGTCACAACCTCCACATACTTTCTGAGTTATACATGTCTACTTTTTTAAAAGTACCCCCTCTTAAAGTCCCACTCTGGCCAGGAATAACAGCGTAGTCATTACCAGCCTGCATATCATCACCACCAGCCTCAACAATATTAGCTCACCAATTGTCTGGTTTCCAGTTTCCAGATCCAACAGATTCTCAGTGAATTTTTCTGACGTAAATCCCCATTGCCAAAATTAAGCTTACAAGATTCAAGCTGCCTTTTTGAGGCCGATTCAGACTGCTGTGGGTGTTCAGGTCTCGTTGGGCTATAAAAACAGATTTTACTACGCCAACACAGTCGCTGAAAATTCGGAAAATGGCATGTTACATATGTATTACAACCATGATTATCTTTCTTTTTTGTTGTTGTTGGGGGTTTTTTGGCACATCATGACAGACTGACATCATATATGTGATTTAGCAGGCATGTATTATCCCGGCCCTTATACCACCTCTCCCTTATCGCTGGGCAGCTGCTGCTGCCGCTGGCCTCAGTTATGAGTGTTACATAATCAGATCAGGACCACAACGCTTTCCCCAATCAGAGAGTTCAGATCAAATCTCATCTGGCTACTCCATTCTGTCTCCTCTCTACCCTACTTGCTGTTACACAGGCTGCTAAAATCCCCCACACGCAAGCAGGCACACACAGGAACGCACACACACACACACACATCATAGTTCTCTGTCCCCACTCAACAAGCACAGAACACTCTGGCCAAACTTGGTGTTAGTCGCTGCACAAAAAGCTCTTTACAAAGTCTAGTTAGTTCTCAGAAGGCGATGGGGGGAGGGGAGGGGCTTCGTGGGAGCTTAGACAATCTGATTGATTGAAAAGGGAAAAAGGGGGGAGAAAGGGTGGAGGGGTGCTGAAAAGAGAAGAAGAGGAGCAAAAAGATAAAAAGAAAAAAAAAGTGGGGGGCAGCAAATGGATCAAGATGCTTCGCTGGTTTCACCAAGTCATCCAAGTCGCCGTGGCAATGTCATGGAAACTCTAAAATGTTTCCAGACCATGAGCACCATGGCAACAACTTGCTAGCACACCAAGACGTGCTCCCTGGCTTGCTTGCTCCGTGCAGATTTTGTAAATATCAAAAGAGATAGGCGGCTGTGCCACGGCTTTTATTTGACGTCTATAAGGCCACAACCTTCAGCAGGATGATGATAAATAAATACAGTGTCTGCCAGCAAGAACGGAGTGTCTTTACAGTAAAAAATAAACTGACAGATTGAGCACAACAATCAATACAGAGCTGGGAAGTGGAAGAAGTCATTCCTGTGAAATTCACATTTATTGTCTGAACAGTCAGTATTAAAGGAGCAGTTCCCCCTAAAATCAAATTTGCATAAGGGGTGGTTGTAATATGCAAGAATTGTGGATTTGTGGACTTTTTTGAGTAAATGGGCTCTTTTTAGCAGTTTAGGTAGTTTATATTTACAAGAAGGCAGATATGCCTACCTTTTTTTTTTTTTTAAACAGCTTTTGTAATCAAAAATATGATCTGAACGCAGTGTTGTGCCAAACACATTTGGCTTTTCCAAGATGAGTTATTTAAATTCTATATAGGCTCCTCTTGTTCATGTGACTCTTATCTTATGTTTTTAATTCAGTTATTAAATTACAGGTCTTATATGATTAGTATATGAGTAGACATCCCTACAATTCATTTCAAATCTGAGCAACTTCCACCAACCAGTACCAGCCCCTTTAAAAACTGGCATTCAGAGTCTTGAATGGACATAAAACTTATTCGACAGGTTCGTTGTAGCGAGCAAATTCAGAAAGAAAAGGAAGAAAAGGACCTCAATCATCAGTGTAACATCTTTTTGCTAACGCCAAGCTGAAGCTAAAGCTTACACTTTGAGCAGTTTAAACTTTCAGATTCTGGGTCAGCAATAGATAAAAATGTGGATTTGGATTTAGATGAAAGTGCCAAACAAATTAAGTCCATTAAAATTCAGCCACTAAATCCCATTTCAGACACGGAATTCATTATATAAATGTGCTGGAAATTCTGCATGGCAATCTGGTGTTTGAAATAAATCACATCAAACAGACTTTACAGACATTTTGACATTTTGTACATAAATCTTAAGCTGGGTTCCTCCACTTGAATCGCTTTATTTATAAAGTTGTGACAAGCTGTGCTGGTAGTGGCAGTATACTTGATAGACGCGATAAGATTTAAGAGTTTTAGGCCTCACCGCTGTCCTTCAGGCCGTTCTCCTCGATCGTTATCTGCTCGGCCAGCTCTGACAGGGACTCGTCGATGGTGTGACTGCCTCGAAGAGTCTGAGAGAGACGTCGCCGGAACCTTTTCATCTTCTCCACAGAGCTCTCAGGAAGGGGAGGCCTGAAGAAGACAAACCAAACAAAAATGTATACACATTACAGGTGTTACCCACTTACTGCAAGAATAAGGAGAGCTACAGCTCGTTTCAACCACAGAGGAACAAGATCAATATCGCTGAGCTGTTTATCTAAGCTTTGTGGAAATGCAATGTAAACTGCCTGTAATTACAATTAAAACAAAACAAAAAAACATCTGGCTGCCATCATGCTTCACAATCCCACATTCAGAAAGAAAATGTCACTAGTTCACCAGGAATCTGACTGGGCGAACAATGAAACGCACTAATCAACAGACGTTAATTATGACTCAGCTCACACTGCATTCCTCCTCCTGGGAAAGCATGACAAGTCGGTGAGAGATTCTTACGGCCGAGTTTAGAATACAGTCCCTGGCACACAGGACTGTAAAAGCAAATCCTAAACCGGGGGGATTAGCGGCTGAATGGCACAGGGCTAGCCTGGGCCGCATCGAGTCCACATCACACATTCCAGACACATTTATTGTGTGCGCGAGAGCGACTGATTGTGAGAGCCTATACGTGTGAGCGAGAGGGAGAAATGCAGCGAGACAATTTATGGGAGGAAATGAAAAAAAGATTTCAAATCAAGACAGGCAATATTTGAGACCGATTGGCTGGAGGAGATACCAAACAAGCCTCTCCCTGTGACTTCAATGCAGATATCATGACTCCACTGCGTCTGCAGATCAGGACATGTGTTTGTCTGTGATGCTGATGAGTAGAGCCAGACAAGAAAACACATGAGCGCGAACCCTGAGGGCTCGCCTGACTGGCAACTACTCCCTATTGACATCCTTGGTCTTGAAATACAACTAATAACCCATATTCTGTCCAGGGACGCAACTTACTCACTTACCCAGAGCCAAATAGTAGAAAGTAGTCTTTGGAGGACAAAGTGGACTAACATGGCTAAAAACCACAATTGACCTTTAAAGGATGATGACTCATCAGTGAGGGACCATGATTCGGACTCGTATGAAGACTTTTGCTTTGTTTTTGTGCATAAAACAAAAGAGGATACAGTTGTTGCAAAGAAGGCATGCAGCTGAAAACTAAGTGTATTAGGAAATCCACCTACAGGGACGGGAAAAAACTGTGAAAAATGACTAACATTATAATGTGAAAGCCCAAGACGATGCCTAAGAATTGCTCATTTTGTGCAAAAAAAGAAAATAGAAAAGAAAAAAAACTGTAACAATGTGAAATGAAGAAAAGAGGAAATCCTTTCATTTGAGATGCGGGGAGGAAAGAAACTGGAAAAACTGGCAGATCAGGTTGCAAATCAATAATCAACAAGATGACAACAGGTGACAACAGCAGTGTTTGTGTGTTATCCACATAAAGAGCAAAAATCTGTCTGTGCACATCTTTTCCTGCTCTGTTCTTTCCTCTGATCTGCTAATAGCTGCCCCTCTGTTAGCTTGGTTCCGCTACAGGTGTCTTCCTCTTATAAAAGAGTTGCTCCTTTTCAACATTGCCAAGTGCTCATTTCAGATGTTTGGGGTTTTCTCTCCAATGTCTTTACTTTCAAAAAGCAGCTCGAGATAGTTTCTGCAAACTGGAGCTAGATAAACAAAACTGAAACTGAACAGCTCAACATCTCCAAGTCGAGTGAAACAGCAGCTGGTTTTAAAAAGTGATTACACACAGAGGGTTACAGGCTCTTAAAGGGGATCCATTTATCTTTTTTTAGCGTCACATTGTTGGTCTTGTTCTGCAAGATAGTAGCTTTAGTTTACATGATTTGCAGTTCCTTAAATCAGCCTTCTTAAGCTTCCTCTAGACAGGAAAGATTTCACAGCATCCAGGAAACCATAGATCATAGAAAGTAAATGACGCTGAGCAATTTCAAGCAACTAAAGTTTTTTCAAATTTGAGGTGAGCAACTAGAAACGGAGGTCATAAGATCTGCTAGCATCAATCAGTTTTAAAGTGATAAGCAGCTTTATTTTTATCCAACATTCCTCTAATTGGCAGAAGACATGACCAGCATATATCCACTTTCACTGACATGTTACAGTATAATTTAAGATTAAAGTATCTCCATGTTAGATCACGGTTCTATTACTATTATTAATATCAACAGTATTCTTGGTAAGTGCACCTTTATATAGTTTCACAGTGGTTGGCTCTTGTGTCAGGATGTTGTTAAAAATAATGAAAAACAAAACATAAACATTACATTTGGTACGGGGTTATACAGTCAATTGCCTGATTTGCTCCAAGGTTAAACGTAATGTCAGAGTGAAGCTCTGGAGAGTCTGACAGAGCGTTTGAAACAAACTGTCACAACAGGTGAGGAAATGCACGTCATTGTTACATAACCTCTCCCACAGCAGGCGATGTGTCCGTTCAATGATTAGAGGCATGTGAAAAAACGCATATCATATGAAATTAAGGCTGGCACATAAATGTACCAGTCTTAAACCAAGCATTGAGAACAGTGTGAACCCTGAGCTTTTGACTCACAATGGACTACATCGCACTAATGTGTGATATTCATATTCACAACAATATTTAATTAACAACTCGATGTCAGTGTCCACAAAAAAGCTGAATATTTTAGAGCTCATCAGTGCAGACTTGGATAAAGAAAGCTGGCTGTTTTACCCAAATATGACACACACTGTGGATGTTTTTATGAAATTATTTTGCGCAGCTTTTCTCGTACATATATGATTACTCCCAATTAAAATGCTAAGCAAGGAGCATTGTAATTAATCCAGGAATCAAGATGAGAGAAAGCACGTCAGATCTGCTGTCATAAGAGCTGCACGTCACTCAGTTCAGCCTCATAGCACATCAGCTCCAACGCGGTCAGCCAGCAGTCCGTCATCTCCGGAACAGCTCACTGCGTTACCCTGAGTTACACACACCCTTCGTGCTAGACGGGAAGCAAAAAAAATTGCACTCGTAACTCTAATAAAAAGGCCTATTTATCCGTCACAGCTGAAGCATGAGATAAGAAGTGAATTACTCATCGGCGAAAGTCCAAAGAAAATTTACAGCATGTTTTAATCAATTACTTAATCAACAAACAATAATATCAACACAATCAAGATGCTTTAGCGAGTAATGAAACGATTCAGCTGTTTAATCAAGCAGAAATGTGAAATATTTTCTTGCTCAAGCTTCTTTATCACTGCAAATTAAAAAGGGGAGTTGAAAGGGCTTACACAAGTCTTACAGTGGAAGATAATAAACAAATGAAGTCAGCTCAGGCTTCAGACTGCTCTAAAGGCTTTTTTTGTAGTCTTGGTTCAATGATGTCAGGGAGAGTGGTATGGGCAGCCAATCAGAACAAGTTTGTCTTAAAGGGAGGTCCGCCTTAAAGAACAGGCGCTAAATCAGCTTGTTTCAGTTAATGGATGAACTGATGAGACAGTATAAGATGAATAAAGATGATTCTGCCATGTGAAAAGCTACTCTGGTAGAGTCCAAGAACAAAATTATGGAGCTGAAAATATGTTCGCCTTTAAATACCGTCTTTGTCTGAAAAACAAGAAAAAACAAAAAAACTACTTTGGGTTCTCTGAACTTCTCAATCACCAAGGATTTAAGCAGAAAAAAAACATAATTCACAGATTATTCAATAACAACAATAACCACAATCTTTTCAGCCCTAATTCTGATATTACTCTAGACAGCCAAAATCCTTTGTTGTGATTACAATCACTGCGATAAGCTCAAATCAGGATTATGTGGCACCAAGTTGGGATAAACTGACAGGCCTCTCACTTTTGGCTTTTGTAGTTGATCTGTCCTCAGTTCCACGGTAATATCCACAATCCGCTCTTAATTTATGAATGTGCTGAATATGAGAGGGATTGGAAGAAGCACATCTCTTAAACGACAAAACCTGCTACTTAGCAGACTATGGATACAAATCACCTTCTGAGGGGTTTGAGTACAAAGTAAATGGCAGCAATAGAATAAAGACGAAGAGGGAGGAGAAGAGGGAAGACTGTCTGCTGTGCACCAGTATCCGCTGGCACATGCTCCTGCTCTGGGATCGAGAGTGGAGCTTTGGACATGATCCCTGGTCTGAGCCTGATCCCTGCTCCCCTAAGTAGGCCGGTCTGAGGTCGCAGCTCTCGATCTGCTGAGAGGTGGCCACGGAGGAGGAGGGGGACGGGGGGAGGAGGAGGAGGCGGCTGCAAGGGTGGTAGGGGGGTGTGGAACAGAGGGGTGTGCGCTCTGTGCTGATTTGGGATTTGTTGCCACGGCAACCCCCGCTGCTTTTTCCATGTTGAAAATGCAGAGCACCGCAGGAGACTGCTGCATGCTGATTTTCCGATCCCTCTCCCCACACTCCCCCACCCCATCCAAATATCCTGCCATAATGTGCCTGAGATGTTACAGACTCTTGACATCTTCACATGTGTGCGAGGCTGTGTCTTTGTAGAGGGGGAGAAGAGAGAGTGGGACATTAGATGCTGCAGTGGTGCGACAATACCATTCGCCGCATATGGATTCAGTCCTTTGCGGTCGTAGCTGTGCTGATCATCATGAGCCACTTACAAAGGTAGGAGCCAGAGTTCCTGCTGTGATAACCCACCAACCCCTACATCAGCAACGCAAGGCAAGCGCTTCACACGAAACCATTACACACACCATGCAGCCACCAACCCTGCCATACGATGACGGCTGTCTGGGCCACAGACACAAACAGGAAACTCCAGGTCACAAACCCTACCTGACCCCTACGGCGTTCAGTAAACCAGCTAAGGTCAATGCCTTGAGGAGCTCGGGGGGCGCCCCCGAGAAAACACCCACCTCTCTTCCCTGGCAGCCTTCCTCACAAAAGACGACAGAGAACAAGCGTGACTGCTGGCATGATTCACGGGTGAGCTCAGCCCTGGTTTTCTAAAGAGCAGCCTTTTCTCAACCTGGCCAAGACAATGAGGACATGAGTGAAGGAGTTGGCTCCATTATGTGGGTCTTATATAAAGGTTGCATTGTACACAGTAAAAAGTGGGCT